CAGTATACAAATTTTATGCAATCCCCGCAAAATTCCCATGACATTTTTCAGAGAAATAGAAGAAAATCATCGAATTTTATGGAACTACAAAATACCCTGAATAGCCATGCAATCTTGAGAAAAAAGAACAAAAGTGAAGGTATCACACACCGTGACTTCAATCTATGCTACAAAGCTACAATAATCAAAACAGCATGGTATTAACAGGAAAACAGACAGACAGAATAATGAAACAGAATCAAGAGCACAGAAATAACCCCATGAATATATGAACAATTAATTTCTGACAAAGAAGCCAAAAACATAATGGTGACAGAAAAGTCTCTTCAATAAATGGCACTGGTACTTCTGGTCAAGATGGCAGCATGGGTAAACACACCTTGCCTAAACCACATCAAAATTGCAACTAAACTACACAATAGCCACTGAGATGGTAGGAGGGACAGAGACAAAGAATTGGCTGGTCCCATGCCCTAATGTGCCAGACTAAAATCCGGAGAGATATTTCAGGACTGAATGGTCCCATGCCCACGCCAGGCATCCCAACCCAAGGTTTCAGTGACATCCCAATTCAAGGTTTCTCTTCGGAAGAGAAATCTCCATAATTTCTGCTTGTAAAAACTAGCAGGGATTGAGGCTGTGAAAGATAAAAGCTGCAGGACTCCCTGGCAGTTCCTCTTAAAGGGCCCATACACAGATTACTCACACACACTCCCTCTGAGCCCCAGCACAGAAGCAGCAGATTGAAAATCATGAGAGACATACACAGAAGAAGTGAAATATCTGGCATCAGGATAAGAGCTGGGGGACCACTTTTTCCTAGACAGAAGTGCTGGCAAAGACTACTGTTCCTTTTTTGAGCCCTTCCCACCAACACCCACAGAGCTAGCAGGCAGACACTATATCTGACATTCTATCAGTCTGGCTCACACCCTTTAACCCACCCCAGTGATTCCGTAAGGCCTTGTCACAACCAACTTCTGGGCCTACCCAAACTGTTTCCAGTGGCTTTACCATACAAATGGCTTGTCTTGGCCCATGCTCCAGATTTTCCTAAATTCTCTCAAATAAGCAGTGTCTGTTTCAGCAAGCCCCATACCTCTTGCTATGTTTCCCCAGCTCAAGCAATAGCAGCAGCTGGCCTTGGTTCACAGCTTGGCCTTGCCTGAGCACCTCTAAACCCAGCACAAGTAGCAGCTATCGGCAGAATGCTTTGTAGCTTCTGCTGTGTGACCCGAACAGAACAGAGACAGTATCTGACCCTGGACATGCTAACATCAATCAAGGCTCAGTTACAAGAGGATGTACACATCTCACACAGTGGGTGCACCTCAAGTACCCAGCTTCGGTAATAAAGGAGGCTGTACCACTGCACTCTATATGGCACCTTCCATGCTAGGCCACTCTACCAAGTGTGGTAGATGTAGCAGCTCCACCTGATACATAGAAACAAACACAGGGAGGCTGCTGAAATGAGAAGACAAAGAAACATGGCCCACATAAAAAAAAAACAGAACGAAACTCCAGAAAAAGAACAAAACAAAATGGAGACAAGCAAGCTACTAGATGCAGACTTCAAAACACTGGTTATAAGGATACTCAAGGATGTTCATGAGAATCTCAACAGCATAAAAACCTTCCAGTAGAAAATAAAGCATACACTAATTAAAATAAAGAACACTTTACAAGGAATCAACAGTAGAGTGGATGAAGTCAAGAATCAAATCAGTGATGTGAAATGTAAGGAAGCAAGAAACAACCTATCAGAATAACAAGAAGAAAAATGATTTAAAAAAAATGAGGATAGTGTAAGGAGACTCTGAGATGACTTCAGGCATACTGACATTTATCTCACGGGGGAGATAGAAGGAGAAGAGAGAGAAATTGGAAACTTATTTGAAAAAATAATGATAGAAAACTTCCCTAATTTGGTGAAGGAAATAGAGATACAAGTCCAGGAAGCACAGAGACACCCAAACAAGATGAACCAAAAAAGGCCCACATCAGAACACATCATAATTAAATGCCAAAGGTTAAAGACAGAGAGAAACTTAAAAGCAGTGGGATAACCCCAGTTAGTTATTTATAAGGAGCCCCCATATGGCTGTCAGCTGATTTCTCAAAGAAATATTCAGGCTAGAAGGGATTGGCAAGAAATATCAAAATGATGAAAAGCAAGGGACTACACTCAAGATTACTCTACCAAGCAAGGCTATCATGTAGAATTGAAGGGCAGATAAAGAAATTTCCAGACAAGGAAAACTTAAAAGAGTACATCACCACAAAACCAGTATTATATGAAATGTTAAAGGGTGTTCTTCATGAAGAAGATCAAAAATATGAACAATAAAATGGCAATAAATACATATCTATCAACGATTGATTCTAGAAAACAAAATAAACAAATAAGTAGAACAGAAACAAAATCACATAGAGAGAGCAGGTTGACAGTGTCAGATGGAGGGACGGTTGGAGACCTGAGTGAAAGAAGTGCAAATGAGTACTTACAGAATGCTCATGGAGATGTAAAGGAAGAACATATATACATGACCCATATACATGGACAATAGTGGGAGATTGCCTGAGGGAGTGGGGAGAGCTGGTTGGAGAACAAATGGGGAAACTTGGGACAAGTGTAATAACATAATTGATAAAACATAATTTTAAAGAGGTACTGGTAAATCTGAAAAGCCACATGCAAAAGAATAAAACTAGACTTCTATGTGACATCACAAGAATTAACTCCAAATGGATGAAAGACTTGAATATAAGACCTGCAACAATAAAATACATAGAAGAAAAGATAACTATTAAATTTATCAACTTTTGTCTCAGCAGAGTTTCTGTAAAATTGACTCCAAAGGCATAGGAAGTGAAAACAAAGACTTAAATAAATGGGACTATATCTAATTTAAAAGCTTCGCAGCAAAAGAAACTGTTAACAATATAAAAAGGCAACCAACTGAATGGGAAATAGTATTTGCAAAAGATATCTCTGACAAGGTGCTGATTTCCAAAATATATGAAGAAATCATACAGCTCAACAACAAAATCTGATTAGAAAATGGGCAGAGGACCTGGCAATTCTCTAAGGAAGACATTCAGATGGCCTCCAATATATTAAAAAGTCCTCAACATCACTAGGTATAAGAGAGATGCAAATCAAAACCACCACAGTGAGATACCACCTCACACCTCTTACAATGTTTATTATCAGTAAGACAAGAACTAACAAGTATTGGAGAGGTTATGGAGAAAAAGGAAACCTCATGTACTTCTGGTGGGAATGTAAATTGGTGCAGCCACTATTAAAAACAGTATGAAGGTTCATCAAAAAAATTAGGAATATAGCTAACATATGAACCGGCATTCCCTCATCTTCTCATCTACCAGAATAGGTTGAAAGCATTTATTAAGATATAGGGTTCCTTATGTTCACTGCAGCATTATTCACAATAACCAAGACATGGAAACAACCTACCTGTCCTTTAATGGGTGATTGAATAAAGACTTGGTACATATATACAATGGAATACTACTCAGTCACATAAAAAGATTAAATATTGTCACTTGAAACAAGGCGGATGGGTCATGAGAGTATTATGCTAAGGAAGTAAATGGTCAGAAAAAGACAAAAACTGTGATTTCACTCCTATGTGGGATATACAACAAAAAGCAACCAATGAACAAACAATGTAGACATAAAGAGCACTTACAGACCACAAAGTGGCAGTAGCTGGAAGGGAAGGGTGGTGGTGGGGGGAGATTGAAGAGGTTAAAGGGAGGTAAGGGACAGAGATAAACTCCACAACAGAGTATACAGATGTGATACTCCAATGTTGTACACTAAAATGTATATAATGTTATTAATCAACATTACTCCAGTAAATTCAATGAAAATGCCACATAAATTTTGTTGTTTGTTAGAAGTGCAAATATACATATCTTTTAAAGCCTAACATCAACTTGATATAAGACCAACCCATGGAATCAGAAAAGTTTCTCAGGGATCAGTACAGATCTACCCGCTTTATCCTTAGGTCCTTAACCTTGTGGGAGAGGCCTCTGCATTCTTCTAGCCCTCTAGAACTCTGTGTCTCTTCAGCACATTAATTTACACAATAGTTCTATCAGATTTGTTAGGTTTTCAAGCCCACAGACAATTTAGAGGAAGGAGAATTGCTAAAGTTGAAGTAACACTATTCTAGGAAGGGAAAAACTACCACCAAAAAAAACAAGAAATGAAAAATTCTAATGGCATAATGATATGGCCAAACAGCTACCTCAGAGAAAATTTCAGGACAAGCATGATCCATTGATTAGTGAAGGAAGAATAAATTATATTTTAAATAATGTTAAAGTTATAAATGTTGATATTTAATTGGCATCTATTCACTTCTAAAGTGCTCAGTTCACTGATATGAAACATATAAAGTCTTACATTTTGAAATACTTTAGTCCAGGTTTTGATCTATGAAATCCACAATGATTATTCAACAGTCAGCGCTTATGACAGCATTTCTTGAGCACCCCCTGGGTGCAGAGTATAATAGGAAAAGAAGGCATATTGTCTCTGACCTCAGGAACTTGCATTCCAAGAGAAGTCTGTGCCTTAAGTGACTTTGTGGTTCAAACTGTGAAAGGGTAATCTGATTGAGGGCTACATACTACAGAAGTCTTCTTAGGAGAGAGGTTAGTGTGAAATGAATTCAGAAAACAATGGTGAAGGTTGGATACTTATAAATATATTTTAAAACCAAAAATATTGCTGTTGTTTCTTCAATTTACTACTGAATGAATATTCACCTTTTTGCCCAAGAAACAAAATGCTAATGGAATGTTACATAAATCGGGTGTGGTGCTTGATCCTGTAAGAGCACAGAACAATCACTTAAAAACCCTCCCTTTATTCTGTCCTAAATGCCTGCTGCCAGGCTATAATCTGTGGCTGGTGGGAAAGAAAATGCTTTACTTTCACATTCTCATTCTGTTATGCCCAGATGCCTGTGATGCTCCACTGAGATATGAATCTATGATGCTCAAAGGTTCTCCTAAAAATGTTTATCAATCTGGGGAAAGTGTAGAATATCAGTGTCGCCCAGGATACATACGTATCGTTCCTCCTCTTTCCGTGACTTCTGTTTGTCAGGCTGATGACACCTGGGCACCTCTCCAGGAGGCTTGTAGAAGTAAGTACACAAAACCATTTACTTTTATTGCTCTAGAGACTTTCACATATTTCAGACTTCATAGTTGATTTTTGAAAACTGGTTTTCTTGTGTGAAGTTACATTTTAGATAGCAATGTATTTTTCAGGCTCTGAGAATCTCCAGGAAATTTCTTAATTGACTATCAATTCTCTGGGGAAATGTGATTCTTAAGTTCATCCATTTGTGGCACTATGGATGGGAGTTGAGAATAACATGCTAAGCAAAATAAGTTGGTTGGAAAAAGCTAAGAATCATGTAACTTCACTCATATGTGAGATACAAAACTAAAACTTACAGTCACAAGTGACATTTTGGTGGTTACCAGGGGGAAGGGGATTGGTGGGGCAAGGTAGTAAAGGGTAACGAGGACCAAATACATGGTGACATAAATGATTTGACTTTATGTGGTGGGCACACAATGAAATATGCATATCATGTACCACAGAAATGTACACTTGAAACCTATATAAATTTAGTAACCCTAATAAATTTAATTTAAAAAATAAGAAAGAAACTATTTTCACGAATCTAATAAAGCAATGTAGAGTTTTTATTTTGATTCAAATCTGTTTTGACATTGGTATAAAGCAATAAATTTGAATTTTTTTTAGAAAAACCATGCCCACAACTAGCAGATCCCACAAATGGTGGAGTGGTCTATGTAAATGGAAGTTACCAGTTTGGTTCACAGGCTCGCTATGTTTGTAATGAGGGGTAAGTTGCTCCTTAGAGAAATAAGGCAAATATTACTAGTTCTATTTTTTTTGGTTCTCTTCTAAGCATTCCCATAATGTTGATTTCATCTTGTTTCCTGTGTGACAAGTCATATTTATAGCCAGTCAATTCTTGGGCTTTTTATGGAGACCAGTGTGTAATGCATAGAAATTTAAATGAAAGGAAAGCAAAATTATATAATACTATATGTAATAATAAACCTCTTGTAGGCATTAAAAATGTAGTAATCATGGTGACATGGTCCCAAATTAAATTACAGAAGGCTTGAGGGTGGCTAGGAGAGACAGAGAGTGAGCCAAGGGCAGAAACTAAGACTGCTCACTTTCTGGACTGTATGTTGAAAGTCTGAATCAACTTCCAGAGCTACTTCAGAATAGTGTTAATATAAGAGCTGCTACAGCTCTTACTTAAAAGATTTCACCAGATTTCCAGATTTCACCACCAGATTTCACCACATCCTGCTTACACATGAACTTTTCAGATTATTGCCATCCAACAATCAAAAGGCTCTCATTATTTCTTCCTCTACAGAATCTGCACCTGTCCCAGAACTACCCCACTTCTTCTTCTTCTGCACCTCCTTATCTACAACAAATGCAAATCCCTTAAAAATAACTTGCATCTTTCTCCTTAAAACTATAAAAAGAACCCCATTAAACCCAGGATGGCAGAAATGTTGCCTTCTCCATCTGTCCCTGCTGCTGGTACATCAGACTGCATGCCCCAGGACCTGGTTTGTTTTGTTTTTGTTTGTGTTTTTCCCTAACTAGCATGTGGCCACTCAATGAATGTGTTCTTTCAGAAAAGCCTCCGGATGTGAAGGTTTATGTTAAACAACTTTATACCATGTGGTCAGAGAAGCTACTTGATATGATTTCTATCTGTTTCACACCTTTTTTTAATATTAAATTTTATTTAGTTACTTTTCAAGTACATTTTTTTATCTATTTCTCCCATCCCACCCCACCCCCCGCCAGGTCTCCCCCCTCCCTCCCATTCCCCCCCCCCCCAGTCCTCATCTCTGTGTCTTTCATACTTGTTCCTCAAAATACCTCCCCCTTTTTCCCCTTAAGTTCCCTTCCCTCTCCCCTCTGGTCACTGCCCACTTGTTCTCTATTTCAGTGTCTTTGTTTTTATTCTGTTTGCTTGTTTGTTTTATTCTTTAGCTTCCTGTCAAAGGTGAGATCATATGGTATTTGTCCTTCAATGCCTGGCCTATTTCACTCAGCATAATGCTTTCCAGTTCCATCCATGTTGTTGCAAAAGGTAGTAGCTCCTTCTTTCTCTCTGCTGCATAGAATTCCATTGTGTATATGTACCACGATTTTTTGATCCATTAAATTACTGATGGGCAGCTAGGTTGCTTCCAACTCTTGGCTATTGTAAATTGTGCTGCTATGAACATTGTGGTGCATAGGTTCTTTGAAATTGATGTTTTAGGATTCTTGGGGTATAATCCTAGCAGTGGAATTGCTGGGTCAAAAGGCAGGTCAATTTTTATTTTTCTGAGAAAATTCCATACTGTTTTCCATAATGGTTGTACCAGTCTGCAATCCCACCAACAGTGAACTAAGGTCCCCTTTTCCCCACACCCTCTCCAACATTTGTTGTTTGTTGCTTTGTCTATTATAGCCATCCTGACTGGTGTAAAGTGGTATCTCATTGTGGTTTTAATTTGCATCTCTCTGATAGCTAACGATATTGAGCATCTCTTCATGTGTCTCTGGATATTCTGTATGTCCTCTTTAGAGAAGTGTCTGTTCAAGTCCTTTTCCCATTTTTTAATTGGGTTCGATGTCTTTCTAGAGTGGAGTCGTGTAAGTTCTTTGTATATTTTGGAGATTAAACCTTTGTCTGAGGTATCATTGGCAAATATGTTTTCCCATACAGTTGATTGTCTTTTTAATTTAATACTGTTTTCTTTAGCCATGCAGAAGCTTTTTATTTTGATGAGATCCCATTTGTTTATTCTTTCCTTTATATTCCTTGCTCTAGGGGACATATCCGTAAAAATGTTGCTGCGTGGAATATCTGAGATTTTCTTGCCAATGTTCTCCTCTAGGACTTTAATGGTGTCACAGCTTATATTTAAGTCTTTTATCCACCTTGAATTTATTTTGGTGTATGGTGTAAGTTGGTGCTCAAGTTTCATTTTTTTGCACATAGCTGTCCAGTTCTCCCAACACCATTTGCTGAAGAGGCTATCTTTACTCCATTTTATGTTACTGCCCCCTTTGTCGAATATTAATTGACTGTAGAGGGTTGGGTTGATTTCTGGGCTCTCTGTTCTGTTCCATTGGTCTATGTGCCTGTTTTTATGCCAGTACCAGGCTGTTTTGATTACAGTGGCTTTGTAATACAGTTTGATATCAGGTATTGTGATCCCTCCTACTTTGTTCTTCTTTCTCAAAAGAGCAGCTGCAATTCGGGCTCGTTTATGATTCCATATAAATTTTTGAAGTGTTTGTTCTATGTCTGTGAAATACGCCATTGGTACTTTAATAGGTATTGCATTGAATCTGTATATTGCTTTGGGTAGTATGGACATTTTGATGATGTTAATTCTTCCAATCCATGAACACGGTATATGTTTCCATTTGTTTGTGTCTTCCCTGATTTCTTTCTTCAGTTCTATCTGTTTCACACCTTTTGATTGGTTAATGTTAATTTGTGACTGATCGTATGGTCTATCCTGGAAGATGTCCCAAGTGCAAATGAGGAGAATGTATATTCTGCTCTATGGTGCTTTATGACTGTGAAATCTAGCTGTTTAATTGTACCATTGAAGTCTTTTTTTCTTATTATCAGTCTTGTGCTACAAATTGTTGTGATTTTGATACTAAAGTCTCTAACTATTATTGGAGATAGGCCTGTTATGTAAAAATGTCTATTTCTTCCTTCAGTTTTCAGCTTTTGTTTTATATATTTTGAAAGTTTGTATGTAGGTACATAAATGCTTATACTTATTATATCTCCTCAAAGTATATAAAGCTTATTAAAATATGATGTGCTTCTTGTTCTTATAACCTTTTTCAATTCAAAGTCTGTTCTGTCTGAATTAGTATAGCCATCCTACCCTCTTTTGGTTACAATTTGCGTGAAATGTCTTTTCCATTCTTTCACTTTCTGCTTGTTCATGTCTTTGAATGTCAAGTTAGTCACCTGCAGACAGCATAGGGTTGGAATTTTTGTTTTTCATCCATTCCACCCATATCTGCCTTTTGATTGTAGTGTATAATCCATTAAAGTTTAAAGTAATTACCAACAAGAAGAGAGCTGTTTGTTTTCTTAAAGCCTTTTATTTTGCCCTTCATTTTGTGCATTCCTGTTTTTTACTAGTTGAATGTTATAATGAAACGTTGGAATGCCTTTCTCATTTCTTTTTGTGTATATTGTATAGTGACTTTGTCTGTGGTGCCCATGGGGATCACATTTAACATCCTAGAGTTATAACACAACAGTGTGAATTTATACCAACTTAACTCCAATAAATTACAATAATGGATTTGATCAGCTCCATCTCATTCCTCTATAATAATAATTGCAATACTGGCTTCTTCTTCACTATTTATTTTCATTGTAAGAATAGGTTCTTAAATCACATATAGAATAAAATGCATTTATAAACCATTGCCACAATAATCTTTGCTTTATTAGTTGCTCAAGTATATACCTGCAGGGAGATGTTGGCCTATACAGTATGAGTTACTCTCTAGTGTTCTTTAATTTCACCTTTTGAGACACTCTAGAGCATTTTTTTGCAGGTGACATGTAGTGATAACAGATTCTCTTAACTTTTGATTTCTGGGACAGTCAGGATTTCCCTTACTCTTGAAGCATAATTTTGCAGTGTAGAAGATTTTTGGTTGACCTTTTTTTCTACCGTTTTGAGTCTATTGGTTCAATGTCTTCTGGCCCCCAGGTTTCTGATGAGAAATCTGCCAATAATCATATTTAGGATCCTTTGTACTTGATAATTTGCACCTTCTACCTTGCGGATTTCAGAATTCTCTTTTCATCACTCGCTTTTGAAAGTAATAAACTTATGGGTCTTACTGTGGGTCTTTGATTTCATTTTACTTGGAGTTTGATGAGCTTTTTGGATGTGTATATTTATGCCTTTTATCAAAATAAGGAAGCTCTCAGTCATTATTTCTTGAAAATTCTCATGTCTTTCTCTTTGTCTTTCCCTTCAGGGATTCCCATAGTGCACAGATGTTGGTCTGCTTACTGGTGTCCCACAGGTTTCACAGGTCTCTTAGGCTCCTTTCTCTTCAATCTCTTCTCATTTTTGTTTCTCAGAGGCCACAAGAGGCATGCTACAGTGTTGCAACAATTTTTAAAACATACAATGTCAGGCTATTTAGACAAGGGCACTGGACCTGTTTTCTTTTAGATTGTCACTAAAAAATTTCATCAGGTAGGGGTCTTCCTGAACCATTCTTAATAAGATACTACAAACTGAAGAATACTCATAACACCCAGAACTTGCCTAGCATTCACTGCATTCTGAATGTTAATTTACCTACTATTTAAAACAACCCCACAATATATATACCATTTCCATAGATGAGGAATTTAAGAAAGAGAAACATTAAGGGACTTGCCTAAGCTCAAAACACAAGTCAGTCTTGGAGCTGGAACTCAAATCCAGAAAGATAAGCTCTTGGGTCAGATCTCTCTACTCACTTGTTGTCCTGACAGAGCAGAATGGCCTGAGCAAGGACATGGAAGTGAATGGGTGATCTGCCTGCCAGAGGCAGCAAGCCCCAGTCTGTCAGGCACAACAGATTTCTATAGACATTTTGTTGCAGGCCAATATGTGTTCATGTAAGAATCTCTTTAGTTCATTAAATTGCAGATTTGGTTAGCACATTTATAAATGTCACTTAAGAAAATTTTTTCTGAAGCTACTGTAGTGCAGAAAAACAACCACATAAAAAGTTCCTCATTATTATGTATTCTTGATAGCTGAGAAAGAACACAATCATCATTTCTTTTCTCATTTAGTTATTACTTAATTGGAACAAAAATTCTATACTGTGAACTATCGGGAACTACTGTGGCATGGAGTGGCGATCCCCCGCACTGTGAAAGTAAGTATATTCTCTCTTCAGCATTTAGAGCAGCAGTGCTCAAACTCTGTTCCCTGGGGACTCTTTCATGCCTTACAATGAACAAAGAACCCCCCCCCAAGAGCTCTTCTGCAGGTGGGTTAGTGCTCCTGATATTCTATATATTGGAAATAAAACAGAGAAGTTTGATATATAATTAGTTACTAATTAATTTTAAAAACAGTCAACTCAATACACGTTAACATATGCAATATATTTTTTTGTGTAAAATCAAAAATTTCCAAAAGAAACATAGAGAAAAATGCCATTGCTTTACATTTTTTTAATGTCTTCAGTATCTGGCTTAAAGGAAGACTTCCAGATTCACTCCACTGCATCATCAAACAATGCAAAGCCAGTGGAAAAATTCACTGTACACTCATCAGGATGACAGTGAAAAAGAGTTAATAGAATCTTGGCTTGCCTGTGAACTATTGATTTAAGAAGGGATGTAGCATTTCTCAACTAGCACTGAGTTTCCCTTAATCAGAAGTATATTTTCTCATTAAACTGTCAGCATCTGTTATGATTAGAAAAAAAAAAACTTAGCGTTGCCTTACAGATAAATACAGGTATTTTATTTAGGTATTTTATTTTATATGTGTATATAAGAAAATGAGTTTTATTCTAAAATATTATTTCTCTATTAATGGTTTCAGTTGAGACAGTACATTTTCTCAAAAAAACTTTCTTTTAACTGAATATTGGATTCACAACTAGATTGTAGAAATCATATATTATTTAATTTATTAAAGGTCATTCACAGAACTTTACTAATACACTCTTAATCTTTCACATTTCACCTTGTATGTCCTTTTTCTTTCTTTTTAAGAAATTTTGTGTCAACCACCTAGAAAAATATCAAATGGAAGATACACCAATAGCCACAAGGATACATTTCAATATAATGAAGTAGTAATTTATACTTGTGATCCTTCAAATGGACCAGATGAATATTCCCTTGTTGGAGAAAACAAGCTTGTTTGTTCTGGGCATAACCTATGGAGCAGTAACCCTCCTGAATGTAAAGGTAATAATATTTCCATTTGTTTCCCTCTCATTCATAAATAGTGTGGAAATTTTTAACAACATTTCAATACTTTGGCCAACAAGTTTTTTTAAAAGCCACTTTGCTTGTTTTCCCTATTAAATTGGTTTCAAATTTAATTGAATATGTGTCAAAATAGAATAAAAAGTAATTTTAGGTGTAGAATTTCCCACTCTTCACCCCACATGTTTTTGGCATTTTTGTTTAGACATTGTTAATTACTATGTATATGCATGAGTTAAAATTTTCTGATTCAAAACCATCAAAGACATACATTGGCTTTAAGAAAGTTCTATGTTATTAGAGAGCAAGTATGACACCTCTTCTTACTTGTCAGGTCTGACTAAAGGAAATGGCAGAATGAATTGTAAAGACCAACCCTCTCACCAACAAGACTGATAACCTCTGTACAACACATATAGGCATATCTTGTTTAATTGTGTTTTGCCTTATTGCCGTTTACACATATCACACTTTTTTGCAAATTGAAGGCAATACCATAACCAGCAAAACAATTGTGAGTTACTTTACTTGGATTCTCACTTATTGCTATAGTCTGAAACAAGCCCACAATATCTCAGAATATCTCAGAAATTTGCTTAACAACAATAGTAAAGATATTTAAGCATGACCAAAGAGCAGGGAGACCTTGGAGGTTATTTGACTCTTGAACAAAAGGAACCAGTGAAAAACAAAATATTTTCTCTTTTCAAGTTCACATGGATCAGTGTTTAGTACCATATTATAGGCAATATGTTTTTTAAATTTTTTTATTTCAAAAATTGAAATTTTTTACAGTATAGTATCTTTACAATGGAATGAATGTAGAAATCAGAACAGATATCTGTAAAACTCCCAAATTTTTAAGAACTATGCAAAACACTTCTAACTAAACCACAATAAAAGAAGGAGTAACAAAGGAAATTAGAAACTTCTGAACTGAATAAAAATGAAAACAGAATTATATCAACATTTCACAAGTTTTAGAATACAGCAATAGCATTATTAGGGCAGATATTCATGGCATGAAATACTTATATTTGGACAAGAGAAAAGTGTCAGATTGATAATCTAAGCTTTCAACTTTAAGAAACTAAGAAAGAAGAGCAAATTGAACTCAGACCTAGAACACAGAACAAAATAATCCAAACAGAAATCAACAAAATTGAAAAATAAATGTAGAGAGAATCATTGAAAGCAACACCTGGTTCTTGGAGAAGAGCAGTAAAATGGATAAACTCATAGTCAATCTGAAAAAAAACACACAAGATACAAATCACCAACATCAACAATGAAGAAGAGAACATCACTAAATATTCTGCATACTTAAAGGACAATAAAGGAATGACGTACAATTTTCTTCCAACAAATTTAACACTTAAGACTTTTCACAAAAAGAACTATAGGCCCCATGTCATAACTAGGAATTCTACTAAACACTTAAGGAATAAATAATAACAGCTCTACATAAACTCTTCAATAAAATACTATAAGAGGAAATAGTTCTCCTCTCATAAGGACAGCATTACCCTGATACCTAAACTAGGCAAAACATGGCAGGAAAATTAAAAACAACATCCACAAGAACATACAACCAAAACCATTAAACAAATAAAATTGTCATATAGAAAAATAGGATTGTATCATAATCAAGTAAGATTTTTTCCATGAATGCAAATTTAAAAATTAATCAGTATAATTTACCTTATAAAGAGATTATAAAGAAGAAAAGACACATATTCATTATAACAATTTGACAGAATTCATCATCTTTCATGGTAAAGCTTCTCAGCAAACTAGGAATAGAAGGAGCTTAACTGTCTCAACCTCATAAAAGGCACCTACAAGAATCACACAGACATTACATTTGACAAAATATTTATTTTGTAACTGAGGTAGGAATGAGACAAGGTTGTCTACTCCCACCGTTCTATTTATCATTATATACTGAAGGTTCTACTGAGTACAAAAAGGCAAGATATAGAAATAAGTATATATAAGGGAAAGGAAGAAATAAAATGGACTTATTCAGTTTTGACATGATTGTCTGTGTGGAAAATATGAAAGAGTGAATGAAGTTTTACCAAGTTTACAAGACACAAGCTCAATGTACAGAAATCAGTGGTATGTTTATAACTAGCAATAAACAATTAGAAATTTAAAAGGTATCATTTACAACTCTGAACTACATAAAATATTTACAAATGAATCTAACAACACTTGTGCAATATTTGAATGGTTAGGACAACTAAACACTTAAAAAATTAAAGAAGACATTACTTTTTTATTTTAAAATATATTTTGTTGATTACACCATTACATTTGTCCCATTTCCCCCCTTCATTTCCCTCCACTCTGCACACCCCGTCCCACCCACATTCCCCCCTTTAGTTCATGTCCATATGTCATAAGTTCTTTACCTTCTACATTTCCCATACTAGTCTATTTTCTCCCCAACGTCTATGCCACTTATTCTCTATACCTTCTCCCCCTTCTCCTCCTCTCACTCCCCTGTTGCTAACCCTCCATGTGATCTCCATTTCTGTGGCTCCACTCCTGATCTAGCTGTCCACTTAGTTTGCTTTTGTTTTAGGTGTGGTTGTTAATAACTGTGAGTTTGCTGTCCTTTCACTGTTCATATTTTTATCTTGTTTTTCTTGGATAAGTCCCTTTAACATTTCATATAATAAGGGCTTGGTGATGATGAACTCCTTGAACTTGACCTCATCTGAGAAGCACTTTATCTGTCCTTCCATTCTAAATTAAAGCGTTGCTGGATAGAGCCATCTTGGATGTAGGTCTTTGGATTTCATGACTTGGAATACTTCATTCCAGCCCCTTCTTGCTTGTAAGGTCTCTTTTGAGAAATCTGCTGACAGTCTGATGGGGACTCCTTTGTAGGTCACTGTCCCCTTAGCTCTTGCTGCTTCTAGGATTCTCTCCTTCATTTTAATCTTGGCTAATATAATTACGATGTGCCTTGGTGTGTTTCTTCTTGGGTACAACTTCTTTGGGACTCTCTGAGCTACCTGGATTTCCTGGAAGTCTATTTCCTTTGCCATATTGGGGAAATTCTCCTTTATTATTTTTTCAAATAATTTTTCCACTTGTTGCTCTTCCTTTTCCCCTTCTGGTACTCCTATAATTCAGATGTTGGAACTTTCAAAGATGTCCGGGAGGTGCCAAAGCCTCTCCTCACTTTTTTGAATTCTTGTTTCTTTATTCCTTTCTGTTTGGTTGTTTCTTTCTTTCTTCTGGCCCACTTGATTCATTTTATTCCCAGTTTTGTTTCCATCACTATTGGTTCCCTGTGCATTTTGCTTCATTTCACTTAGTGTAGCCTTCATTTTTTTATCTAATTTGTGACTAAATTCTACCAGTTCTGTGAGCACCCTGATCACCAGTGTTTTGAACTGTGCATCTGATAGGTTGGCTATCTCTTGGTTGCTTAGAAGTACTGGCTCTGGGGCTTTGAGCTGTTCTTCTTCTTGAGCCATAATGTTTTGGTCTGTTCATGCCTGTTACGTGTGAGGGGCGAAGACTTAGGTGTTCACCATGGCAGGGTGACCCACTCTCTGGGTTGTGATGCTGTATGTGGGGGCAGGTTCAGAGAGGAAGTGATGGCATTTGTTCCACTTTCTCTTGGATTTTGGTCTCCTCTGCCACTTCCCACAAGCAAATTGGGCCCCTCTGGTGCTGGTTCCCTTCTGGTGTTGGTTCCTGGGCTTGTGTATATTCTAGGACCCTGCGGGTCTCTCCAACGAACTCTCCTGTGAGGCTGGGAGCCTCTCCCAGCAACTCAACCCCCAAAAGTTTTTCCAGTTGGTGCTTTTAGGCTTTAATTCCCATTGCTAGGGCCCTGGGTTACATGGTCTGTCTCACTGCTCATTTTTTTGCCTAGTTTCTCTGTACCTGAATGTGTGACTTTGGTCAG